CTTACTTGCCCTTACCGTGCCATGTCAAATAGGTAGAAGTGCTCTAAGGGGAACATACTAGAGGTTGGGTGGGTGGGGTGTGTCAATATAATAAAAGTATTATATCTAATCTAACGGTTGAGAAGAAACTAGTTTAAATATCAATATGTCATCTTTTATTTTACTTTTATTGCAATAAAATACTATTTTCATTATTAAATCTTTTTTTTTTTTTTACGAAGGGATGGAAAACATGAACAAAAAATTGATTTGCATCTAAGATCGTCATCTTCGACGCCAATCATCTTTCTCCTTCACACCTAGTGAATATGATATTATATGAAAACATAAACCTGTCATGAAAATACAATATAGTTGCATAAACCCAAGTCCCGGTTCATAAGCTGGAAAAAAACAAAAAACAAAACAAAAGGCCCTAAATTTGTTTGTAAAAATTTGAAGTTTTCCCAAACTGAGTTCATGAATCATTCAAATCTAACATTTATAAACAAAAAAATTGATCACAAAGGCAGAGAACAACAGAAAAGTGACTTGGTTGTGGGTCCTCGAAATTCAATCACATTAAAGTGTGAAGGGATAGCTTGATGGCTCCGCATTTGGGTCAATAAATTTTCTTTTGTTTCTAAAAAAATTGAATATTTGAATCTAAATCAAGAGATGAAAATAGATAACCAATAAGAATTAGGGTGAATCTTAAACGACACGTGTTCTTGATTTTCGTCTGCAACACCGGAGTTGAAGGTAGTTGTGAATGACAATAGAGGAAGAACTTGTTCTTGGTTTTCTAAGAGAGCGTGTTTTGGTTGGAGTGATTTTTTCTTTTTCAAAGCTTTTGTTTTGTTTAAGTTAAATTAATATTTTGTACACTAAAAGTAATAAAATAATGATTGTAAACACGAATTTTCTGTGACAAATGAGACAAGAACACGTGTACAAAATAATATTTGTATTAATGAAATTTAGGATTACAATCTCTATATGAAATCCTCTTATTCGATCTCCAAAGTGTTTAAAGAAACTTTGTGTTTGATACAAGGGTTGTAGAGACTTGATCTTGATCAAATGGGTAGCACGAAGCTTGTTTGGTGTTTGGATTTTTCTAGGGTGGAGAAACCGACACGTATTTGTTGTGCTTGGTGGCTATTCCAAAGTGAGGCGAAGAATGCAGAGAGTTTTCTGTTTCTTCTGAATGCTTGGTCTGTCTAAGCTCTCCTTCCTTCATCTTAAGGCCTTCTATTTATAGGCTCCTGCAGAATACTTGACCTAAATAGCTTTCCTTCTTTAAGACCTTCCTTTATGGGATTCTGATTTGATTTAAAATCAATTCCAATAATTTGGCAATTTAACCAAATTATCTTCGATTGATTGACTTGATTAATATTTGATTTAAATCAAAGTCAATCACATAAGATTCTTTCCTTTCATTTTGTGTTCACTTTGAACCGTTTGATGCACTTCGTGATATGTCGACGTATGTCACTTTTGACAACTAATCCAATTTTGATGAGTCATACGCCATATGGGCGAATTATAAGGCCCACAATTCAATCCACCGAACCCTAATTATTTTCTTATCTAATGGAACTTATTGCACCAAAATTTCTCTGTTTACAAATTGCCCCCACTTCACGATGCATTGTAGATATGTGGTTGTCACATGTAGGAGGTGCAGCTTGAAGTGTTCCCTTCTTTTTTTTCATTTTTTTTTTTCAATAATTTGGTAGAATCACTCTTCCATCCTGATATTTCCAACGTTGGCTTTGACCAGTGAATTCCTCTTCTATATTTATATATAAAACCATATATATTAGCATATATATTGATCGGTGAATTTTCCCTTTTAGCCACAAAGAATAGGAGACTCTAGCATATATATTAGCCATATTCTTTAGTTATATTTTGGGTATGTAGATTCTCCAATCGGATTGGCAGGATCTTGTGTGGCCTCGTATAAGCAAGTAACTTAGTTTTGCCTTCAATATCCAGGAGAACCAATAAATATCCTATTAAAATCTCCGAGTGCAAGTTACACAATCTTTCCTAAACTGACATCTCCGAGACATGCAAGGAATAGGGAATCCTAGCACTACCAAAAGCCTTGATAGCCTTTGGCTTCTTTAAATTGTGTTGCACTCATGGATATTGAGATTAACCCAATCGAATAGCAAAGACTACTCCTCTTATCAACAAATTTACTTGGATTGTATAGGAGTGAATCTCGTAGCTTTAGACATAACCTTGGTCCAAATAAACAAATCTGACACAACTTCACTACTACAAAAAAGGCAAAAGACGACGGGAATTCACCGTCGTGTATTCGGTTTTCAAACCGTCGTGAAATCAATCGACATCTATTTGGGTGTCAAACTACGACGGCTTTTCACCGTCGTTGTTTATCTGCAACGACGACGGTTTTTAAAGAAAATTGTCGTTGTTTAGAGATAAAGATCATTAATTATATTTCTGGTCTGGACTCCCTCTTCCTTTCATGTTGGGCCTGTGAGGCCCAACTCAGCTTTGTTTGTTCTGATGGGCCTTGGGCTGGATGTGTCAATTTTTGGCCCAAACAATAATAGACGATGGTTTGTATAAAATCGTCATCTTTACATATAATAGACGACGATTTGTATAAAAATCGTCATCTTTACATATAATAGACGACGGTTTGTATTCTTTACATATAATGACGACGGTTTGTATAAAAAACGTCATCTTTACATATAATATACGACGGTTTTTTTACAAAAATCGTCATCTTTACATATAATAGACGACGGTTTTATAAAAGCGCCATCTTTACATATAATAGACGACGGTTTGTATAAAAATCGTCATCTTTACATATAATAGACGACGGTTTTATGAAAGCGGCATCTTTACATATAATAGACGACCTTTTTTTATAAAAATAGTCGTTAATTATCTGTAAAGACCATGATTTATTATAAAAACCGTCGTCTAATAAGTTTCCAAACTGCTACATTTTAGTTCTTTTTTATTTCCTATGATGCTATACAACGATTTTAACTAGAAAACCAACCATAATGCTTTATTAATGAATATATACACTCAAAAATAGTTTCTTTCATAAAACTTGAAGATTCAATAGTTATTACATAGTTAACCAATCTTTATTCTACAACAAACATAATTCCTAACAAGACCTACGTACTCCTAATCCAAGCATTCCTCATCCAAACATACAAATGATGCACAACTGAAGTCTCCTCCATCATCC